TTTTTTTTTTTTCTTTGGAAGACATTATTGGAAGACTCGTTTCACGATTATTAACGTTCTTTAATTTGCGAATTTTTCATGTCTGCAGAACGCTGGCGAATGTGACTTCGAGATTTAATGGAATTTTGGAGGAAAATATATCTGGTTCAAAAGATCAAGAAATTTATGAATCTAAGAGTATAAAATTAAAAGCTCAAAATGACTGAAAATGACTTAAAAAATATTGTGTCACAGATTCATGGCGCTAAATTTATACGTTAAACAATTGTGAATTCAAAAATATAGTATATAATCATCTTTCTAGGATAAACCTCGGGAAATGGATGTTTCGCGAATCGAGCCATCGCAGCATTCTGCAGCTACACGAAACAACTACATTTTGTCTACTCATTTCCTTAAACTGTTTATCTATGCGATCTTGGAAGACGTTGGATTATACAACTAATTGTACTCGATTGTACATAACTAATCGCGCAATCATTTTGCGTCTCGTTTGTACGGCGAGGGGACGGCACGGCGGGCTAGCTCTAAGTTACTTGGCAGATTCGTCGTCGACGTAAATCACGACGAAATCATGATCGAGATCACCGCGCGTCCCGTCGTCGCGGTTCAACAGGTCACATAAAAATTATACACGGGTGTAACTCCGCAGCAATACAGTTATAAAATCCAGAAAACTGTAACAGTAGTCAACTAGTTAGTTAGGCTGCGATTTGCTTGCTGCTGGAAGACATTGTGGAAGACATCGTCAAGTGCGCTCCGTGCGAAATATTCTTACGCTCAATGCGCCCTAGATCTCTCGTTATATATCTACTGGCTCCCGAATGCAAAACAAATCCGAGATTGTGGAAGACTCTTGGATAAATCTATCGCTTCAGATATGTCATAGTACTGCTTGCAACGTGAAGTGTACAATAAAACTTTTACACGCTCTCTAATGAGCCAATAATTTTTCCTTTGAAAAAGAATTCTGCGATTAGAAAATATTACGTTCTCGCCTAATTTTAACTTTTACATCCTTAGAGTACAAGTGCCGACTGAAAATTACTGAAATGATAGAAAAGAAAGACAGATTGGATTGTACAGGGTGTCCCACACTTAATCACACGGTAATGGCACATTTCTGAGATTATTTTGAGATGAAAATCCTAACGTCAAAATGTCGAGGGTACAATAGTTTAAGTGAAAAGCGTTTAGAATTGAGCAATCAGTTTGCTCCAGATTCGCGCGCTCAGGCACGGTATGCGACACAATAATGAGGATATCTTCAGATATCGATCCGTCTTTTTTTTCTACAACCGTGTCTAAGCGCATGAATTCGGAGCAACTCGATTGATTAACTTTAAATGCTTCTTATTTAAAAACTATTGTAGCCTCGACATTTTGGTGTTGGGATTTTCATCTTAAAATGTGCTATTATCGTGTGGTGCGGTTAGTGTGGGACACTCTGTATATCGTTCTAAAATTATCAGCCCATAAGTTGAAATAATAAGAAATAGGTACACTATTTTCCATAATGCAAAATTTTCGTACTAGTTAATCGCCTTCGAGCATGTGAAATATTTGATTTTGATTCACCGCGTTTCAATGTAGAGACATATTTTAAGAACTTTTATGAAATAGCATTCTTATTGATTGAAATTGAAGGAATTTCGCGATAACATTCATTTTTCAATTAATCATTAGAAGATTTTGTGAAGTTTTGTGTCTCAATTATTGAATCATAATATTATTTAGAGAACTCCTGATATGTACTTCTTTTCGTTATTATCTGAGTATGTGTTCAGAATTTTATGTAGTCTCTCGCATGTATTAGCAATTATTGCACTGAATATCATACGTGTTAGAATCGAGAGTCAAATACTTTGATAGCTCGAAAGCGTGATATCATTTCGATACGAGACAAGAACAACAACAAAACGGCCCGGATTCGCGCGAGATTGCTTAGAAGGGCAGGCCAATCTCGAAGGCGTTGATCAGCGCGGAGCCGGAGTCGTAGACGCCGATCACCCCGAAGAGAACACCGAGAAAGATGACGAAGCAGTCGTACGCGACGGCGCTCCACTCCATCGAGTTTCTCTTGAGTTTCAGGTGGAAGTAGCAAGGCCAGATGAACGAAAGCATAGTGCCGGTGAAAGAGCCGATGAAGCCCATCAGTATGCTGAAGTGCGGTATGAAGATCGCCATCAGAATGGTGAACACGATCACGCCGACTCGCCAGGCGAGACCCCAGACCTTCAATTCGCGATCCACCGTCCAGATCGTCGGGAAGATCGTTTTCGGCCGGCCGCGGAAGAAGGCGCGCTCCAGGAGCTCGCAGGCCGCGTAATACGGCAGCGGATACGAGAGCACCGCTTTGACGACCAGGCACAGATTGACCAAGCCCTTGAAGCCGGCCGAGTGCAGGTTGTTCGTGATCACCTGCTGCGTGTCGTTCTGAAACGTCAGGAAGCAGATCCAGCCGAAGAGCGACTTGAACGCCGCCGCGGCGATGTGGCTCCAGTTCAACATCCAATCGAATTTCGAGCGATCGATGAGATTGCCCTCGAGGGTCGGCAGGAAGATCTGCGATGTGTAGCTGAAAACGATAACGCCTAGCGAGATCGGGAAGTTTTCAATATCGAACGTCCACTTCACCTTCGACCAGCCCCAGTCACCGATCTCCAGGATGCAGTAACCGATGATGATCGCATTGATGAAGAGGTGAGACATCGTGCACCAGAAGCTGAGCATGGAGACATGCTGCAGCGACTTGAGAAAGCCGAGCGGAAGCAGGAATATACCGATCAGCATCATCCAGCTACGTGTGTCGATCGCGCCCTCGGGATAGCTGCCGATCATCAGGTCGCCGCACACGACCACGTACAGAATGCAGGTCATCAGCAGCTCGATGATCTGCGCGATGTTGACGGCGCGGGCGCCCCATCTCGGCCCGAAGCACTCCTTGGCGATGGCCACGTACGAGTCTCGCACGCGCACACGCTGACCCGTCACCGAGTCCAGCTCGTACAGGCACTCGACCAGGATCTTGCCGGTGTAGCAGCAGATGTGCGCGATGCCGATCATCGCGGCGATCGCCCAGTAACCACCGCGCAGGACGGCGAACGGCAGGGAGACGATAAACATTCCCTGGAAAATTCCAGCATCGGAAATAGATGTCGCATTATGTATAATGCAATCTCATATTGCACAATTGTCACAACAATTAATAATGTAATGGTATTATTATAATGGCGTTTTATAGGTTCTTTTTTTTTAATAGAAACTTTTGTATTACGTTACCAAAAACTTCTCCGATCATATGATACCTGAATGGCATTTGTAACATTCCAAGCGGCTTGCCATTCGTTGATCTTGACGCCCGGGCCGCCGAATTCTCCGCCGCCCTCGTCGTACTCGCTGAACTCCCCGCTACTCACACTTCCGGTTCTGATTTTGTCCCTGAAATCGGAGCGTTTCGCGGCGAGTTGAAAAACTCTCGGATACTTCGATCGGCGATGCGTTCTTACCCGTTTCTCTGATAGCTGAAGGAGTCCTCAGCAACCGCCACGTTGTTCTGATCCCGATACGCCTGGTCCCCGTTCATAGTCATCATCTCGGTATTATCGCGGCCTTCGTCGAAGGACTTGAACTGACCCTGACCGCTTTGGCCTTGCGGATGTCCTTGGCCCATGCCGCCGCCGCCGCCGCCGCCGCCGCCGCGGATCAGCTCCATACACGGACTGTTCTCCGGCCATTTGGCCTTTAAAGTCTCCCAGGCGACGCTGACGGTTGCACCGATGGAAGGTATGTAAAATCCACGGAAATTCGCCATTTCTCTCTATCTGTTGCTTCTACGGCGACATGTTTACTTACAATCCTTTCTAAAAGTAGATTCTCACACACAAAACCACAGCTAGGAACTGTACAATGCGTCTGAGGAGATGAAAGAAGCGAAGGGTGAACGTATATCCTGGTACATATTTCCAAAATTGATTTGGAAATCACGAGTGACATGCAGAGTATCTTTTAATCGTCCAGATTGAAATCATACGTCTTAGACACCTCGAATAAAATATTTAAATACGATAGATAGAATATTTCAAATTACTGAATGAATGAAACGAAGATGCGTGAAGGTGATGTAATTGTATTTGCAGATGTACAGATCTCGTCGCAGGATAATACAGTGAGCAGAGAGTGTCTCACCAGAGATAAAATTCGTGTCGATGTCATGTGAATGAAAAAAGTCGAGCTTACCGAACAAGGGATCCGATGCCCGCCTCGGATGTTTCCTCCCGAGAGACCTCGTTTCTCAACGATCGGCCCTCGCGCGGCGCAGTCGATCGGCGGCACGATAGAAATGACTAAACTAAAAAAACGGCTGCGACCCCGGTCAAAAGCGAGGCTTCATGAAGAAGAAAGGAGGGAAGAAAAAAGTGAAGAGGAGTCGGAACGAGCGTGCTACCTAACTACTCGGATTGCGAAACCGCATGATGACGACGATGTTACTTCACCTACGATCTACACCGCGGCTTGCGAGGCGAAAATCGCGGTGGAGCCCTCGACCCGCGGCATCGACTAAGCAGAGCGGGTACACGGCGGGGTTTAAGGAATCGGGAGATCGGGGGAATATGGCCAGCCTTCCCCGAACGCGCAGGATTCGATCGATGGTCCACGAGAGAGGGAGACGCATTATCATCCCGCGCGTGTCCCTCGTCCGCGCACTCGCTCCTCTCGAAAACGGGGGTGGAATAAAACCCGCGCCCCTTAAGTACGAATGAAAACGTTGCGATTTCTTACACAATCATGGGGAAGTAATCGAAAGGCGTACAAATCGGTTATATCTATTCTTTTTAATAGAAAACAAAAAGGCGAGATTTCCGCAGTTATAAAAATATTGGAGGGCTGATGAGTAATGCAATTGTCGTTTGTTAAAGGAACGCTTTCATCACTTTATTTGTATAATTATTAATCACACAATTTTGTGTATCGAGTAGAAATAAAGTAGATCTAAGAAATTAGATCTCTCTCTCTTGGTGCTCTTAATTTATGGAATGAGATAGCAATTATTGTGCAGCGTTTTGGGCGTATAATCCTTTTCTAATACTGTGTGTGTTTGAAATTCAGAATTAGCATGTCGCTCCGATCAAAAATTCATGATGAATATTCAATTGCTATTGCATAATTCCGAGAATTCCTGACTACGAGATTTGTCATTTTGCAGTAAGCCGTGTAATATTCGACTTGCCGTAAAATTATAAAAATCATAGACGTAGAAAGAAAAATTAAGAATCCTAGTTAACACGAACAAAGCGCACATTTCGCTCGGAAATGACATAATCCGGATTTCAATAGATGAATAAAATCAACTTATTTATTATCCATGTTATGCACTTCACTTTGGGTGATTATAGACGTATAGTCTTAATAATTCTTTACAATTGTTTCGCCGCGCGAATAAAACTCAAATTGTACTGTATTATTCTTTTTCGGTAATGCAATCATGGTATCGCATTGAAATGAGCGACCGTTACAAGGAGGCGTGTCCTTAGCAACGAGACGGTATTCACAAGAACACAAATGAGCCTGCGAGGAAGCTCGTAATACGCGATTCTTTTTGCCTCTTGCGGGCACAAAGTCGTGAAATCATGCAATGTTACAATAAATACTCGAACACTGTATCAGAACATTGTGATAAAATTTCTCTCGAAATTTTATGGCAATTAGACTGCTACTCGAGAAATATTTTCTATTTCTCTTATTACAATTAATTGCATACTTCGACTACTTGATGCTCGCGGAAGGTAAAAGGAATCGAAATTAGCTCTCTGAGTGCTACAAAAAATACATGTACAGCGATAAGTTCATTAAATAACAACAACAATAAATTCGTCTGCTCGAAAACAGAAGCAAGGATCATTGAGGTTCTTCGCACCAACATATTCGATTTTGTAACTAAGTAGCCGCTAAATCGTACAATTAACTGAACGTTTCTGTGTTTTTTCTTTTCTTTTTTTTTAAATAAAAATTGGTTTGTCAGTCTTTCTTAGCATCTTTTTTTTTTCTTTCCAGATCACCCCAACGAAGAAGTAACGGTGTTATATACATAATTAGGAGAAGCAAAGAGAGAAAAAAAGACCACCTGTCTTTACGTGTAAGAATGACGTACACACGCACACACCGACATCACGGCGAATGTACAAACATCGAAAACGTGATACAACTATACCGAGATCGCGCGATGTTACGGCCTAGACTTTGGGCGAAAATTACGAGCTAAGATTTGTATTTAAATAATACACGATCGTCTATAGCAAATTCTTTTTTGTACTATAACTACGTGTCCCATCATATACAATATTCCCATCAATAAATCATATAATGAAATTCCACGTCGCTGAACGAGTGACACGGTGCACAATTGAGACCCCATAGCGTCAAAACGATGGCTTTGAAACAACCAATGTCATTTGATTCTCCAAACTGATGACTTAAAAATAAAAAAAGACACATTTGGATATGGCATTCTTAGATAATCTTTACCAATCAATTAAGAGATAAGTAGTTTTTCAGTTTTTATAGAGCAAAGCTGATATCTCGTTATGCATCAAGTGTGATAAAATGCAATTATTTATTTATCCATGTTTTTGATGATAAAGATATCTTTTGGATTAGATACATAATGATAATTTAGATTAAAAAATTTGATACGTAAATTACTATGGTACAGAATTATCCGATTGTCTTTTTACTTTCAAGTCGCAATATGACAGTGATTGTTTTATTTCCAAGGAGCTAGGACTGTCTCATCCGTAGAAAGCTAACAGGAAAGTGCCAGTTCCGATCCGAATGTGACACGTGGAATTTCGAAAGTAGGATAATTTGCTTACTTAAGAAACTAATCTAAAATCAATGGAAATGTTTGCCGTGGCGTATGGAACATCGCGAAATCACAATTCGCACAATCTACTCACTCGCTCATGTCCCTCTGTGTTTGATGGGAGTCGCTGTTCGAAATTAGGCTGTCGATTGCGGTGTCTTGCGAAATCGTTTCCGAGCTCCTGGTTGTGCAAAGCTTGTTAGACTTAGCTTCCACACGATTACATTTAAGATTCGGATCTATCAAATTTGGATTCGACGCGGAATGTATAGAAACGTTAGGCTGGGCGGACACCGGTCGTTGACACGAGTGCAGCATCAATTCTGGTCCACCGCCGTACGTCGTCAGGAAGAACTGCCACAGTTCCTCGGCTATTTGGCCATAATCCGAGCCTGCAAGCGGAGGACACGAATATAAAGATGGGAAACATTATACTCGTTGCACGATTTGACACAATTGCAATAACAATTCTACAATTGTGATCGCGATCGACGAAGACTTACCAACTTTAAGACTATTTTGCCCATTTTTATTTACAACGATGGAATTATTATCAATTGGTCCTGGTGGCTGAGTTTCCTTGCCTCTGACAAAACTCTGCCATTGTCTCAACCAGGCCATCGCTAACGCGTAAATAGCCGTGTGGTTGTCGGTGGCGTGATTCAATCGCTGAAATAGCTCCATCTCGTACTGCCTACGCTTCTGCAAGGATTCGTACTTTTCTTCACAGGTCGGACACTCGAACAGATGTGTACAGGCTGGACCTCCTCCAAATCTGTGACAACAAAGCGTGTAAGTACACAGAGAGAAGCGATATCTAAAACAAAAAAAAATGGTACAATAATTTTGTCGTGCTCGTGTCGAGAAAACTTACGCATTATACAAGTATTCCCAGACCGGTTGCGGTATCGGCATGCTGATCTTGTCGACGAATTGTGCTCTAACGGGGATTACGCCCCCGTGCGGACACAAAAAGTCGGAATTGTCGATCGGACCCGGCTCGGAAAATGTGTTGAAGCGATTGATCCACTGTCGGGACACGAAGAAGTTCAGGTCGGACAACTCGCGGGACGATATCTCCATCAGCTCCATGGTCTTGTCGCGCAGCTGCATCATATCCGGCGACCATTTCTTGTAGAAGAGCACATAAGCCTCGCAGTGCTTCACCGTTTCCGGCGAGACCTCCGTGACGCACTGGTCATCGAACTCGTACCACTTGTTAGCGATGGGATTCAGCGCGTAACAGGTGTAATGACCGCCGCCGGCGGTTCCATGGTGACAGATGACCGATATCAGATTGTAAGTCGTGACCTTGGACACGCACTCTTTGTGCAGATACGGCCGCATGTCGAGACCCTCGAGCGGAAATGACACGTAATTTGCGATCTTCGAGCTGAACATCAACTCGTGACGGAATCTCTTCAGGTGAATGCACAGTATCTCGGGCAGTTCCAGAACCTTGGAGAATTTGATGCCGTTCCGTAGCTTATTACACTTTTCGCAACTGTACATATTGTCGCCCTTGAGTTCGTCGGCGCTAAAAAATGCGGAGAGACAGTCGTGCAGGCTGACCACTGGTCCCCAGAACCACGAGCGCATCCATTGCAGGAACCACGACAGCCAGCCTGACTGATTGGTTACGTAAACTACGTCCGAGCACGGGCCGGCTTTCTGCGGCGTCAGCGAACCCTGATGCAGCATGTCGATGTGATCTCTACTCGGTATGGGCAAGGATAAATCCTGGAAGGTCTCCACCCGGGTGGAAATCCGATCGCACGTCAAGCACTGCACGCTACTTAGAAGCTTGCCGTCGAATGTGTCGCTGATGATGCTGCGCGTCTTCATTTGCTTCTTGGTGCGATGCTTGGTCGGCGAGTTTTGCGGTGAACGTTGCGGTGGCGAGAACGGCATCGACGGCTCGACATTCGACTTCTTTAGGTTTCTGCTGGTGAATTTGTTCCGCAACTTCTCCGTTTGCGACACGCGAGAATATCGTCTCTTCGTGCCGCGTTCACCCTCGTCGCTCAGAGAACTCTGCTCGCTCACGCCCGAGTCGCAGGTCTCGTACTCGGCGTCCGATTGACTCGACGCGTTGCCGTCCATCTCGGCCTCGTCTTCGTCCTCTGAAGAGTGATCTCCGAGCCCCTTCAACCGCAGTTGAACGTCCCTGTCATCTTCTATGTGCTCCTTCAGTTCTTCATGCAGTTGATCCATGAAACATCTGAGAAATTCCTGAGTGTCGTGTTGATGATACCCGCGGAACATTGGATGGACCGTTCTGATGCCCGAGAGAATACCGTGCGGCACGACATATCCCCTCGTCTTTTTGTTCCACATATCTCGAATCAGATTTAGATAGCTTAGACTTAATCCGGGTTTCCTGTCTTTCGACATGTAGCTGACCATATGGCCACAATCCAAGAAGAACTGTGTCAAGGGAGACACATTAGATAGAGCTTGGAGCGCTGCATTCATGTAACACGTATTGCCAATATTTTGCAAGCCCACCAAACCTCTTGGCTTTCCAGAGAAGTCCTTGCTCTCGTCAGAATCTGTACTGTCGGGAGAATCTCCAGATCGCTCATTAAATAAATTTCCTTTCTCTGGATTGATTCTGTTTATCGACCAATCTCCATAAAATCTGTTAATAAAAAACACGATGTTTTAGATCCAAACTAAATTTAATTCATGTCTATTCAATTCTATTTTACTACATTTCTATCTCATTATCATTGAAATATGAACAATATTAATTCACCATAATCATTTGTCAGTTGTTGATTTGACACATCAGATGACACGTCAGATTTTAAACAAATTTCAGCTTTCGACTTACAAGATATTTAACGTCATGATAATCGCTTGAATTTACTTACTTGTCGAGCATCAGTCTGTCTAAGCCATCCAATTTGGACTCAATGCTACCAGGAGCATCCCCAGCAAATTTGTTTGCCATAGTTTTAAACTCTACCTGCGTGGGCGACAGTGGAGGTGACGGCACATGCTTGGCAATAGCTTCGCTTTTGCAAGAATAGCACCAGATCCTGTTGGTGGACAGATTCATATGAGCGCAGTGCATCGGGAAGTTTTGATTGTGGATAGTGCTGTGGTCAAGATGAGTCTCTGCACAGCCAACCCAGCGGCAGTCCGGGAACAAGCAAAGCCAGAGATTTGGCCCCTGGGTGTCGCAGTCGCTGCACTTCGCGAAACGCTCCTCCCGCGCCATCACCGCCTCGATGAAGGCGAGATCGCTGCGGTTGGCCAGATGCGGGCAGTTCCTCACGACTAACGGCATTTTCTAAACGAATTGTCGCCTTCAGAGTGAAAATTGATGGTTCCTCGATGATGACGTGTATAACACTTATCTTCGATCTCACACGTGCAGTCGGGATCACTGTCCGGACTACGCGTGATTCGCGATAACGCGTGTCACTGTCATCGTCATCATTACGCTGCTGGTGATGATCATCGTAAAGTCATTGCAGTCCTCTAACCTGACTGAGACATGTCGCGCGCCGTAATCAAGCGTATCGAGAGTCGCGCACGAAAATGATTGTCATTGGAGACAGTATACATATCTCTGTGTAAACGAACTGTTAAGGCTCATCCAGATGAAAGAGTACAATCGCATGAAGGCGGTGGCATCAACCAATCACCACTCCGAAACGACGAATGCTACGTTCATCGTGTTTGATAAATGTGATTCTTGAAAATTTCAATATTAGAATCAATTCTTGTTCTGATTAAAAACAATAATTTATTTTTAAAAATAATTAATTAATTTGTTAATCTTTTTTTCATTAAGACACGATAATGTTTTGCCAAATATAGAGATACTCCAGAGTCGAATTTTTAGCTATCTTTAACCTTGCTGGCTTCGTTTGGATCAACGTCTGTCGAAAAAACTCATCTCGATTCACTCGTTTATAGTATTTTCTACAACACAAACTTCCCGAATTAGAGCATTCATGATTTAATTGGTCTATAACCTAGTGAATTTTTCCGTTTTTATAAATTTGCATTACGTTGCATGGCATACAGTCGACATCGCTCGCATGAATGAAAGCTTAAGTCGACGTCATGCAAAGTCAAAATTAAGTTGAGGTTATGTTAGGACAGCTTTATGCTCGTTTTAACCCCTCTTAAAATTGAGACAGGGTTGCACATGGATTATTGACAGATCTTACGTGACTTTTTACTATTCTAAACTTATTCTGCTGATTTAATTAGAAGGAAGATTGATTGTTTTGAAAGTCTGCTTATTTAAGGTAATCATCGGAGCGATATTGATAATTCTTAAGCGTTTTACTGTGTTAACCTACAAGTTAACCTATCAATTTTTTTATTTTTTCGATAACTTTTTCAATTAAAAACTGTTCCTGTCGCTCACATAGCAAAACTGCTGTTGATATATTATTTTTAACTGGCATTTCGTATACTTTCTGACTTATTTTTTGCAAATGTTTGATGACGTATGTATGTAATGCAAGATTTTACATATTTTTAGCAACTATGGTGTTGTCGTGCCGATTTTATAAAGAAAAATATCCAGAGGTGGAAGATGTGGTGATGGTGAATGTTCGTAGTATAGCTGAGATGGGTGCATATGTGCATCTACTGGAGTATAACAATATCGAGGGCATGATCCTATTGTCTGAACTGTCCAGGAGACGTATTAGATCTATTAACAAACTTATTCGAGTAGGCAAGACCGAACCGGTCGTCGTTATTCGAGTAGATAAAGAAAAAGGTAATTACAAATCTTATTTTTGATCTATATAATGGCCTTTATATTATAGTATATTATGTAAATTACGAATCTTAGGTTACATTGATTTGAGCAAACGTCGTGTGTCTGCCGAGGATGTGGAGAAGTGTACGGAGAGATACGCTAAAGCTAAAGCCGTTAATTCAATCTTAAGACATGTGGCAGAATTGTTGCATTATGACAGTGATGACCAGCTAGAGGAACTATATCAGAAAACAGCCTGGCACTTTGAAGAGAAATACAAGAAACAAAAAGCATCCGCTTATGATTTTTTCAAACAATCAGTATTGTAAGAAGAACTGCTGATAACTAAATTAATACTTAGATGTATTGGAAACATATAAGTATATTTATGAATATAAACAATTTTAGGGATCCCTCCATTTTAGCAGAGTGTGGCCTAGATGAGCATACGAAAGAGGTATTGCTAAACAACATCAAACGGAAACTCACTTCGCAGGCGGTCAAAATTAGAGCGGACGTCGAAGTGGCATGTTACGGCTACGAAGGGATTGATGCTGTGAAAACTGCGCTAAAGGCTGGCTTAGCTCTCTCCACTGATGAACTTCCCATAAAAATTAATTTAATTGCTCCTCCTTTATATGGTATGTATATTATTACTGCACATAGCTTTTCTTTGCAATCGTTCACATGTGTATTAAATGTACTATATTGTATTTATATGTTAACGTTTAGTTATGACAACATCTACACCAGAAAAACAGGATGGTTTGAAAGCGCTAGGTGATGCAATCGAAGTCATTCAGAATAAGATAACATCGCTCGGCGGTGTATTTAACGTTCAAATGGCAGTACGTGTTATGATCGAATACATTTATCTAACTTGTTCGTGCATGTGCCAAGTTAAATCCAATTTTTTTCGTTTTTCAACACTAGCCGAAGGTTGTTACTGCAACGGATGAAGCAGAATTGGCGCGACAAATGGAACGAGCAGAACTCGAAAATGCGGAAGTTGCTGGCGATGACGATGAAGAGGAAGTAGAGGGAATGGAGGGTGATTTCAGCGGCGGCGAAGGAACGGAGCAGAATAATAAAGGAACTGAATTGAATGATAAAGATGCTGAGCATAATGACAAAGACGAAAATGTGTCTGAAGAGGAAAATTGAATTTAGACATATTTGAATAAAATACACATTCTCGATAAACTGATAAATATTCGCAGGTTCTTTTATTATAACTAGGCTTTGATAAGGCATTTTACTGGCATTTTGTTGAATGTGCTGGTTCTTTAAAAATATATATATATATACATATATATATTAAATATAAAAGTGCAAAAATCAATATATTGTAATTTATGGAAGTAAAATTTTCTACTAATTTGGTATATAATTGATTTAAAGATAAGTATTTTTATCTTTAATAAAAAGAACTTCAAACATTATTCCATTTGTATTAATTATTATTTTATATGATTTATTTAATATAGTGGTATCCAATCTTTGAAAAAACATTGCGAAACAAGCAGAAAAATTCAATTATTAATTAACATCAAGTTGTATTAAATTATTTTGCTTTTAGTTATGATATTAATGTAAAAAATAACTATGGGTTTAGCTTTCTTTTATATCTTTATTAAAACTTTAGTTTCAATTATAGCGTTTATTCATTAGCGATTGTTACTTCCACTTCTACACCAGGCTCAATGGATATGCTGGTGATTTGCTTCACGATCTCTGAAGGTGAATACAAATCTATAACACGTTTGTGAATCCGCATCTGGAAGCGATCCCATGTCTTCGAACCTTCACCACAAGGTGTTTTGCGGGTTGTTATTCGCAGTACTTTTGTGGGCATGCGTACAGGTCCCTTGACTTTCAGTTTCTGTTTCTTGGCTCCATTTATTAATTCTGCACAAACTAAAATAAAAGAATATTGATTTATGTATCGCATCCAGCTTGCAACAAAAATTACACTAACATGATTATTTACTTCTAAACAAATAATAATTTAATATCAGTTGTTGAAATGAACAATTACAAGCTTATTTACCTTTCTCAAGAGAACGAACATTGCGAGACGTGAGTGTGATTCTAATTCGATGAATGGGAGTGAGTTCCTGTCCTGGTTTTTCAGGATTATCGACCTTGGTTGTCGCCTAAAAAATAAAAAAATTACAAGTCTACTTCCATGTAAAATATTCACATACTGTATTATTAGCAATCTCGCGTTTCTTTTATTGAAAAGTATATATAATATCATGCATATTTATTCTTGTCCTTTGAGGATGATGCTACTTGGCAATACCTAACCTAATTCAGTGATCGAAGTGACCATCATGAAATATATTATCGTTACAAATAAGATAAACAAATTTTATAAACGTTCATTGTTAATAACATAATCGCTTACCATGATTGAATACTCGTACTGATCGAGATAATCAATTTATATTGAGCAAAACTGATCAGCGCTGAACCAGTACGCTTAACACGTTTCACGTGCGAAACACAAGAGGCACTGAGACGCACGATTTCCGGTTAGCAGCACTTGGATGAAATCCGGTTAGCAGGCCTAATGGTCTGTTCATTTCAGCTTTATGCCTTGCATTTTATATTTCTTTCTTTCTTTCTCTCCTTCAAAATGTGCATCTACTTCACTCTAAACACAAAAAATGTAGAAACATCTCAAATAATATTGAAAACTTTTAATATTTTTATTTGCATCAGACGATGCAACTTGTTGCAGCAATTCGATTGTCGCAAAGACATATAAAATAGAATCTGCAATATCAGTTACTGCAGAAACACAACAGAAATCAAACATAATTTATCATCGAAAGAAGCATGTTTAAAAAATAAATAATAATTTCAAGTTAAATTAAGTGTTCCGAGATTAAATAAATACTTTCTACTTGTAATATTGCAAATATATATTTATCATAATTTTTTGTATGTCACCATTCATTATATAGATAATTAAGTATACAAAAAAATAATTTTATTCGATAAATAGTGCATTTATAAAAAGGCTCTTTGATGCCTTTTATTGGAAATCCACTGCCGCGCAGTAAAACTATTTTAAATTTGTCTTTGATTGCATGTAAGAAAGTGACAGGCATTTTTCAGCGCGGTAGTATAGCATTCGGCGTTTTCTTTGTTCCTAATTATGTCTGCGGTCTCATGATCCCTCGGCGGTGGGACCGAGATAATAGACCAGGTCGTGGCGGTAAAAAGTGGAAGGAGCGTGGTCGAACGTGCCTGGAATTGCTTGGGCGCGCAACTTCATTGTGAAGATCTACCAGTTCGCCGCCGACCATCGAGGTAGACGGTTGTGTTTGTGTCTCGTCATGCATTATATATCGTGATCACGTGAATGAATTTTCGTTACTGAACATTAATCGAACCGCCGAAGTACTACGAACAAATCATACATGCATTATTATTATTATTATTAGAAATAAAATGTGAATGCTGTCAGTATTAAAAATGGTGCTATGCATTGTGCTGCTTGTCCTGTCAACAACGTCGGGTCTGGTCCAAGGATGGGGCATTAGTCACGGATATCCTGGAACCGGTGCAAAATGCGAGCGGCTCAGTGTATCCTTTTGTCGGGGACTGCGTTATAATTTGACCGCGATGCCGAATTTCATGGGACACGAGGATCAACGACTAGCCGAACGAGGGGTTAGTTTCGATTTTTAAAATAAATTATTTTCTCAATTGTAGAATTTGAAAGTAGTAAACAATATTTACCAGAAACGCTATCAAATATGTATTATATGCTAAGAAAAATAACTTCGGAGATGTACAGACAATAACTATCTACTTTGAATATTTTCGAAATTAATTTCACGATGTTGAAAAATATTTTTAAAAAAGTAGAATAATTTTTAGGACCGCATAACACAGTTTAAATAGTTTTTTATATATATAACAAGTAGAGATTTAGAAGAGATGTAATGATCAACTTTGTATTTTTTAATAGAATTATATATTTTTTAATGCATTAGTGATGTAGCTGTACAAAGATATGTTGCAATGTTTGTGCTGAGAATTTTATTGCGAGATAATACACACAAATAATATTATATAGATAAGATAAGATAATATTTATTTTTTAATGTAGCCTGGATATGTACAAAAATTCACTTGATCTACGATAATCTTCTCAAGTTACACATGAAATTTATTGAACGTAAACATTGAAGTAGCCTAAGCTACTCTCAAAGACATGAAGCAGATGTTTTAAATAAATCATTTAGAGGTCGAGTAAATTTTTGTATCCGAGCTGCAGGACATTCTTTCGAACATTGACTTTAAAAAAATGAATATTTTTGTTATTCGTACATACTGTATATTTAAAAAAAAAGTTTAGAATTTTAGAAAACAAATAGTAAGTAATCATCTAGTAAATAATATTAAATAATTCCGAACAATATTTTATACAAGATACATTTTTTTGGAGACGAGCGGAAGAGAGATTTTTATGGCGCATCGAGCGTTAATAAACGATCGAAGATCAAAGAACGCGCGACTGGCTTTCATTAGCAACGATAAGGTGAATCAAAGTCGCTGAACCGCGACATTACAGAGAGAGAGGGTGTAGAGAAAGAGAAGATGTGGAGAAGATAGGAGCAAGAAGAGAATACCGGTCCCTTTTTCTCCGGGCGGAATATACAGTTCTTTCCACAAGAGATATAATTAAAAAAGCGATTTTCTTCTTGCTTGCAAATCACCGAATTTGTCGATCGATTTAATATCAATTTTCGATCGTTCTTCCGCGAAATGCAATTTGAATAAAATAGTCCCAAGCTCCAGCGCACGTGATTTACCGTATAATTATTTTATTTTTTATTAATAATTATCAATAATGTTTATACGAAGGAAGCCGAAGGGACACAGTGGAAAAAAACGCGTCCATGTACTTGCGCGTGGTACACACTATTTGTTCTCTCTTTCTCTTCTTCCCTTCATTCGTTCTTTCTTCTTTTTTCCTTCCCACCCTTTCTTTCTCTCGACGAAGCACACACAAGCGCACACAAGCGCACACATACACGGTGTAAGGAAAGAGGTATTTATAGCCAAGAGTTCACTCTCGCTCGCTGCGTTTTATTATCGTAATAACGTTAAGGCGGCTTCCTTTGAAGTCGCCCGAAGCAAGATAACCCTGATGAGCAAAACCCCTGCTATTTTCGTAGCAGCTGTGTTCCCCGTGCGCAGGTATGTGTAGCACGCATAGAAGCATGTGCGTGTGTGGGAACATCCTCGGCGGATGTGCATTTGATGTGCGCTTTTCATGCGATTAGTTCCCTCGAAGCCGAAAAGGAGGATAATGAACGGCGGAGAAAATGTGAAATTTTTTATTCCGGATCGCTAACACGTGAAGCTCGTAGTACGAATATCCACAATTTACAGTCATAGCGAAGCTGAAAAATACCAAAATATCTTTGGAAGATCAATTTTGAACAGATTATAAAACGTAACAATTTGCACACTCGAAGGTGTAAATATTTTTTATATTCTTCTCTTCACAATTTATACTTTTATTCGAAATAATTTTGAAAATCGAAAACAAGCTCATTTTTTTTTCACACGGACGACAGAAAAACGCAATTCAATTTCTAGAAATAAATCGGATCGCATCTTCTCGCAAGAAGTATTTTGACATTGCATCGCATAAATATACATGCAACCTCGTAAAAAATCTCACAATGACTCGATCGGCGGGACAAGCTCGCCGCATAAGGATAAAAGCGGGAAAGAAAAGGATCAGGCCACAATAAGAAGCAAATCTATCCGTTCGTCCGTTTCTTCGGTTATTCGTATCTTCTATCTGTGAGTCGTTTGTCAAGCCGCTTTGAAAATACCCCGAGGGATTAGAAGGGATGGAGAAGGGGAGTGAGCTGTTTCCTATTCCATCTTTTTCTGGTCATCTCGTTGGAAAAGAATGCGAAATAATGAACGAACCGGTCCGCTCTGATTTCTTTGGCGTCGCCCTTTCGCTTCTGCGGGTCCGACATAATTGAGGCAAGATCGCACAAAAACAGATTACACGAATGTGTGCGGAAAATAATATGATTTCGGTGAGATTAATTCTTGACGTACTGAAAAAAAGGGCCGCAAATTGTCGTTTTCTGTCATATGATATCGTCGATAATGAAAGGCTCTGCATACTGATTAAAGTAGGATGTAACGAAATTTTTGACAAAACCATACATGTTTGTATTATCTTCTTAATATCCTATCGATTTCAGTTGTAGATTAAAAACTGCCGTCGCGTCAAATCCACTCTCTCCACGTTCGATTGTATGCCGATACGTCTGTTGCGCGCGCGGAGAAGTGAAAAAAAGATCGTGCACGCGATTTCCAGACGAGATTTCTCTCTGCCGAGTTGCTTTCGGCTGGTCCAGCCCGATCGGTGAGAAAAGAAGTCTCGCGGGGCGCGAAAAAGAGAACACGATGCGGAATAAAATGGAAGGGCTTCAGCATTACGGGTTACCACGTAATTTCATGAGGCTATAATTTGGGGGAGCGCCGTGGAGGAGAAGAGCATCGGGTTCGCCCGTAATGGGCGAATCTAGACGGGGTAGGAGGAGAGGAAACGGCTCCGATGAGTTCCAGTGCGCGGACTTCAAAGACGTGCAAGGGTCCATCGGGATTGAGGCGGGAAGAATGGGCGGGATAATTACCCTTGATACTCACCGCTCGTTATATCTCTTGGAAGCGAAGTCTCCGCTCCGCCTCGTTAGATGCATTACCTTTTCGTTCTTTATCTCTATCTCCTTCGTAAACTTTTCTGCCTACATTTCAAGAATTAGAGAAACGTAGAAATTTCTTTCAAGCGCAGAATATTGTACAGAAATTTGTGGAATTAAAAATCGTTGAGATTGAGAGGCCAAACTTTGAAGGGCAAAAATACTCCTACTGTTCTGATTTTTGTGATAAATTTGACTTGCAGTTGACGGCCTTCATGCCATTGGTCCACTATAATTGTTCGAGACATCTGAGACTTTTCTTGTGCTCCGTCTTCGCTCCAGTCTGCTCGGAACATGTGGCTATGCAGATACCAGCCTGCAAATCCCTCTGTCTTTCCGTAAAAAGGGACTGCGAGCCGGCCTTAACTAGCTTCACCTTACCGTGGCCGCACATGCTGGATTGCGATCGCTTTCTCGATCGTGGTAAGCATTCATTTATCATTGAAAAATCGTTAAAATCGCTCAAACTCAATTCTCATTGTTAACATCATAATTTAAACAAAATTGACAAGTCTCGCGCGTTTTTAATTATATATACATGTGGCCGAGTGCTATTTAGAATATAATCATACGTGTTAAAGTGAATTGAAATATTTCCGCCGGAATTCTCATTGACAATCGGAGGCTGTGATGTTTTTCTAAATTAGTAATTCGGCTGCTTGACACGTGTGTTTCTAAAATATTTCTTACCTAACCAGGAAACGCGCTGTGCGTACAGCCACCGGATGAAACGTGGGACGACACCAGCCCGTTAGTGTTGCCCACTGTTCAGCAGCCAACGATGCACGAACAGACGCCGCAAATTTCTATCCAGACGCAACAACATCAGCACCAGCAACATAATCAATGTCCGCCTCATTTCGTGCAGATACCTGACGTGGAAACGGTTAGAATAAGCGCAAAGATCAGAGCGGTAACTAAGCGGAAGTGCAATTTAAAAAAATATTCTTTTTTCGTACCGTTTTTCATCAGATTTCTTGCGCACCGCATTGTGGCACCGATGCGTATTATCGCGCAGAGGACAAGAGATTCGCCGAACGTTGGATGACTGGCTGGGCATGGTTGTGCTTTCTGTCGACTCTCTTCACCTTGCTGACCTTTTGGGTCGAGCCGTCCAGGTTTCGTTATCCTGAAAGGCCGATAGTTTTTCTGGCGCTCTGCTACAACCTTCTCTCCGTCGCTTACATTATTCGGGGCTTAATCGGCGCTGAAAAGCTCAGCTGCGCCAGTCAAGTTGACGGGCCAAGCTACGTTCCGGTAAGTAACTAAAGCTGTTTTCGATAAGCAACGAAATTCTCACTGTTGCAATATCTGTTTGTCTACAATAGGTCCACGATGCTTTGAAGAGTGTCCCTTGTACGGTTTGGTGGCTGATCAGGCATTATCTGGGATTAGCTGGCAACACGTGGTGGGCTATGTTGTGCGGTTGCTGGCTATTGAGCGCCAGGAATGAATGGAGCAGCGAGGCTCTTCACAATATTGCAACCTATCTTCATGTGACCGCCTGGATTATCCCGGCGCTCTTTACAGGAGGTAAATATTTTTTGTATTCTCCATAATTTATATTTCTTCATTATACAACTGATTTTAAATATTTCCACCATTTTTTGTTTATAGAATCTTTATATCTTGACAAGTTTTCGAGAAGCAAATTCTAATCGACAAACGCCATCTTCCGGCATCTATTCTAGAATTCTAGCAAACTTTTCAGAAATCCATCAACTTTTAATGCGCTTTTTATTCGCAATATTTTAATCTCAACTAAATATCACGTACACGTCTACAATTTTCTCTATTTTTTTTTTTTATAGGAAGCCTGTTATCGCGCAACGTGGTGGCGGACGAATTGACCGGACTATGTCAAATCGCGGATGAGTCGGCTTTATGGCTGGAAGTGCTGCCGCATGCTGTTCTGTTGCTGCTAGGCTGCATATTCGGTAGCATCGCTGGGAGCGCGTTAGTCCGCGTGCGGAGGGCCGTGCGCTGTGCCGGGCGTAGTGCGACCAAGCTGGAGCGCTTGATGACGCGACTAAGTATTTTCGCGCTATTGTACGCACTGCCAGCACTGGGCGGCCTCGTCTGCGTGCTGCACGAAGCTTCGGTAAGACCGCGATGGCAAAAATTAGCATTGCTGGCGGCGCTGGATTGCCGCGCTGTCCAAAACTGCACCCCGGGCCCGGTCTATCGGGCCGCCGGCCTCGAGGTCGCCCTTCTCAGGCTCTTCCTGTCTCTCGCGGTCGGCGTGACTTCCGGCATGTGGGTATGGTCCGGTAAGACCTGCCGCACCTGGACCAAACTGTTCGCCGCGCCTAGCAAACCTTCCAGAATACACACTCCTTTTCAAGACTTCAAGCAAGATATCGCCTAAGTATCTTAAAGTTAAACATGACAGAGCATTCGTTTGAAGAATGTCGTAAAAAGGGATCTAAAGTTTTCAATCTTGCGACTTCGGAAGTGTTTTAGACATTCCTTAAATATTAGAATAGTTTGTAAAGAAAAAGACTAATCGGAGCATTGTAATAGTGCGTATTGTTGTGGACTTATTTATCGGATTAATTATGCTAATAATAGTTACGAGATGTGGAGCAATAAGCGCTAAAACTAACAATGCATTTGTATATATACGTTGTACATATTGTAAAAGAAACAATGTATGCTCGAAAGAATGAATATGTGTAAGAAATTTCATGAATTCTTGAATAATTAAGAATTTAGGGTATTTACAAATAAGCACTTTTTCAACATCTTTTCTTTTTGATAGAAGATATATGCTTATTTTAATAAAATTTTACATATTTTTATTAATAATTTAAGATTGTATGCATGATTTTTTTTAAGTACTACTTTTTTGTAAGAAAATATACAATAAAATGATCAATATGTGATATCAATTAGAATTTAATTTTGGTGTCGTTTTATGTAATAGCTAACTTTAGATAATGAAAATAGACAAATTTTAATTATATCATCGTTTATTTAATCAGCCAGTTTACACTATATATTTTATTTCAGTTGAATTCGTACTATACATTATTTACAACGCTGAATTGAACTATTTTAGTGCAAATTAATTACAAAGTATTTGGTATATATATTAAAACAATCAATGTAACTAACAAATCAAGAAGAAACAATAAGATAGATAATAAACTAAGTGTATAATTTGTGACTTGAAAACGCACATTAGCAATATGCATATAAACATATTTAAATTTATTTTAGTTTAAATAATTATTAAATAAGTATTTATAAATAAACTTATTCGAATATATTTATCTTAATAAATATTTTTTCTAAATTTTCTCAGTGTTAACAATTTAAATTTCTTAAACTTCTAGTAAAAATGAATTTGGCAATTAAAAATCCAAGTCTAACGATCTTGAAAGTTTGTCTCATTTTATTTTAAATTAATGTAACGTCCGAATTTCCAAAGGATGATAATTTCGTGATAAAAATTTATAAATTTTAGTGGCAAAATCGTGCCGTAATATAGAAATTTTAGATATATTCATATATCAAAGCTAGATTCTATTATATTAAAAATCTATAGAAAATTCATATTTTACAATATTCGAAATTCCACGATGTCAAACGTTTCATACAATTTACTGCAAAATTGTTGTTAACAATATAAACTCCAGTCCAACAATATTTAAAATCCGTGCTGCCTTTTCGAAGATCTACGAGCGTCTCACGATGTCCAGTCTCAGATTCCACGATGTCCAGCCTCAGGTCCCACGATGTCCAGCCTCAGGTCCCACGATGTCCAGCCTCAGATCCCACGATGTCCAGCCTCAGGTCCCACGATGTCCAGCCTCAGGTCCCACGATGTCTAGCCTTAGATCCCACGATGTCCAGCCTCAGGTCCCACGATGTCCAGCCTCAGGTCCCACGAAGTCTAGCCTTAGATCCCACGATGTCCAGCCTCAGGTCCCACGATATCTGGGCTTCGTGTTGCACGATGTCCGAGACTCAGGTTCCATGATATCCGGGCCTCGGACTTCACAATGTTGAGACCTTGAGTCCCACAATCTCCAGGTCTCGAGCTCTATAATGTCCAGGTTTCGTGCTCCATGATGTTCAGGTCTCGAGCTTCACGATGTCCAGGCTTCATATCTTCAAGATGTCCATATTTCAGGTCCCACGATGTCCAGGCTTCATATCTTCAGGATGTCCAGATTTCAGGTCCCACGATGTCTGGGCTTCGTATTCCACGATGTCCGAGACTCAGGTTCCATGATATCCGGGCCTCGGACTTCACAATGTTGAGACCTTGAGACCCACAATCTCCAGGTCTCGAGCTCTATAATGTCCAGGTTTCGTGCTCCACGATGTTTAGATCTTGGGTTCCACAACGTCCACGTCTTGAGCTCCACGATGTCCAGGTCTCGAACTTCACGATGTCCAGGCTTCATATCTTCAAGATGTCCAGCCACAGATCCCTCGATGTCTGGGCTTCGTGTTGCACGATGTCCGAGACTCAGGTTCCATGATATCCGGGCCTCGGACTTCACAATGTTGAGACCTTGAGTCCCACAATCTCCAGGTCTCGAGCTCTATAATGTCCAGGTTTCGGGCTCCACGATGTTTAGATCTCGGGTTCCACAACGTCCACGTCTCGAGCTCCACGATGTCCAGGCTTCATATCTTCAAGATGTCCAGATTTCAGGTCCCACGATGTCCAGCCTCAGATCCCACGAAGTCCAGGCTTCGTATCTTCAGAATGTCCAGCCTCAGGTTCCACGATGTCCAGGCTTCGTATCTTCAGAATGTCCAGCCTCAGGTTTCACGATGTTCAACCTCAGGTTAAACGATGTCCAGCCTCAGGTCCCATGATGTCCGGCCTCAGGTCCCACGATGTCCAGGCTTCGTATCTTCAGAATGTCCAGCCTCAGGTTCCACGATGTCCAGGCTTTGTATCTTGAGAATGTCCAGCCTAAGGTTCCACGATGTCCAGCCTTCGGTCCACGATGTCCAGCCTCAGGTCCCACGATGTCTAGGCTTCTTATCTTCAGAATGTCCAGCCTTCGGTCCACGATGTCCAGCCTCAGGTCCCACGATGTCCAGGCTTCGTATCTTCAGAATGTCCAGCTTCAGGTTCCACGATGTCCAGCCTCAGGTTCCACAATGTCCAGCCTCAGGTCCTACGATGTCCAGGCTTCGTATCTTCAGGAGGTCCAGCCTCAGGTTCCACGATGTCCAGCCTCAGGTTCCACGATGTCCAGCCTTCGGTCCACGATGTCCAGCCTCAGGTCCCACGATGTCCAGGCTTCGTATCTTCAGAATGTCCAGTCTCAGGTTCCACGAATGTCCAGTCTCAGGTTCCACGATGTCCAGTCTCAAGTTCCACGATGTCCAGCCTCAGGTTCCACGATGTCCAGCCTTCGGTCTACGATGTCCAGCCTCAGATCCCACGATGTCCAGGCTTCGTATCTTCAGAATGTCCAGCTTCAGATTCCACGATGTCCAGGCTTCGTATCTTCAGAATGTCCAGCCTCAGGTTCCACGATGTCCAGCCTTCGGTCTACGATGTCCAGCCTTCGGTCTACGATGTCTAGCCTCAGGTTCCACGATGTCCAG